CACGTCGAGTACAATACCGCTCACAGAATGTGCAAAATTTCCGTAAATGTCGCGAGATTCCGAAAATTCCGCGAACTTTCCGTGAATGTCGCGAAATTCCGAAAAGTTCGCGAAGTTTCGCGAAATTCCAGGAACTTCGCGGAATTTTCGTTCGCCATATTCACGGAAATTTTGCATATTTTGTGAGCGGTATTGTAGGTTGAGCGGTAATGCTACTCTTGCATGAATTTTTCTAAAAGAAAATATTGCACAAAAATTGGAAGTACTTATTTTTTTCTAGCATCTTGAGTGTTTCAAATATTGGTCTTTTTGAAAATTATTTTGTTTTTTATGGTGGAAAGCAAAGAAACTCTATCATTTTTCGACGCAAAATGAGCTAGGTCTACCCTTGCTGCATACAGGCTATCGCTTTTATTACTTTGTTTGATGAATAAGTAGCTAGTGATTTAGCATCACTTTAAGACACTAGCGCAAACGTTCTGCATCGCCTTCGCTAGACTTCATACGGCAAAGGTGCAGCAATCATCCAAGTTCGCGGTTGAATTTCTCGGCTCATTGTAAAAAATTTTGTACAAAAAACATATTGTAGAAAAACCTCTTAGTCGTCAAGCATATTTTTTGTAATAGGGCAAAGAAGTAGAAGCAAGTCCTGAAATTTCATCTCTCTTATTTGAAGGTATGAAACTATGAACGCACGAAGGTATACGAAAGCGGAGGCATACATAAGAAACTAGAAGAAATGCTCTTTTACGCTGTGAAAAAGTTCTTGAAGAAGTTGATTGCACTAAAGAGTCGGAGTTTGAAAGAAGTAAGAAAAAAGTGCATTGAATATGAACCAACCTATTGCTTCGGGACTATGATGACGATCTGTACTTACAACGCGAGGACGCTGGCATCGGACGCCTCTATCGAAGACCTCATGATGCAAGCAAGGAAGATCAAGTATGACGTCATCGGACTGACCGAGACAAGGTGGCACCACCCGCTGAACGCCACATTTGAGACTGGAGAAGAACTGTTTCTAAGAACATGCGACAGTCGAGGAATAGGTGGAGTGGGAGTCTTTGTCAGCACGAGTTTGGCCTTGAACATCGATTCGTTCGAACAACTTACAACTCGAATCGGACGTTTGCGAATATCAAGATGTGGATCAATCCCTGCCTTGAATGTCTTCATTGTGTACGCCCCAACGTCCAGCTACGACGAGGACGAACTCGAGGAATTTTATATGGACTTGGAGAAGTTCTACAAAGGATACCTTTTATAAGATCATCGTCGGTGATTTCAACGGGAAAATCGGAACTAGAAGGTCGACTAAGAAGTTCACATCGGAATCCATGGTTTACAGTGGAACGGGCAAGGGGAGAGACTGTCCGAGTTTATCATGACGACGAGGACTATCCATGAAAACTCACAGTTCCAAAAGAGCTGTTCGAGACGCTGGACCTGGGAATCGCCCGGTAGAGAGTACCATAACGAGATTGGCCACATCATCGTCAACAGAAGGTACTGCCTGACGGACGTCGCTGTTGTTCCGAAGTTCTACACGGGATCAGACCATCGTTTCCTACGCGCCAAATTCTACTTTCCGCGGAATGTAGAAAGAGCCGTCAAGTTCAGGAAACATCGTCCCATGAATACCACCAACTGGGATCTGTTTTCTTCGATATCCGGCTCATGGCGAGATACCGTGATGGACAACATCGACGAAGAATACGAACGGTTCGTACAACATCTCCACGGTTGTGCCAAGGAAGCTCAGAGTCTAAGAAGTACGAGAAGGCGTCTCACCATGGGGACTTTGGAGCTGATACGCCAACGTGGACGCGCACGAGCCACAGGCAACTACCGACTGACGTCCGAGCTTGCGAAGCGATGCAGAGAAGCGATAAAAGAAGACTTTAAGAGAAGAGTAGCAGTGATGGTTGTCGCCGCGGAGGCTGGAAGAAGTATACGCAACGCCCGCCGAAGCTTCGTCAACTACAAGACAAAGATGACCGCACTTCGTCGTTCTGACGGAACCATAACTGCTTCCCAAAGATCAATGGAGAAGGTCATCCACGACTTCCACTCGGATTTCTTTGCGAGCCATGTCCACCTTTCGCCATGCCATCTCAAGCGGGACGAGTATGTCGCACCGTCTGTTCTTACTTCCGAATTCGTCATGCTATCATGTCGATGAAGACCGTACCGCACCGGTCCCGACAGGATCAAGCCAGAACATCTGAAGAATCTTTCGCCGGTTCTCATCAAAACTTTGGCAAGGCTCTTCACGCGGTACCTGACGGAAGGCAAGTTTCCAAGACAATGGAAGACCAGCAAAACCGTGTTGCTGTACAAGAAGGGAGATCCCTGCGACTTCGGCAATTATCGCCCTATCTGCTTATTGCCTGTAGTCCACAAGCTCTTTACGCGAGTTATTCTCAGCAGGGTCGGAAGACAGTTAGACGAAGGACAACCATGAGCAAGCTGGGTTTCGAAGAGGATTCAGCACGATAGACCACATACACACGGTGCCAAGGCTCACTGAAGTGTCACGAGATTATAAGATGCCGCTTTGTCTCACCTTCATCGACTTGAAGAAGGCCTTTGACTCGGTTGAGACTGAAGCCGTCATCAATGCCTTGAGCAATCAAGGTATTCCGACTCATTACATCAAGATAATTCGTAAGCTGTATAACGACTTCACAACCACCATAACACCATTCTACAAGGACATCATCATCGACGTGAAGAAAGGCGTGCGACAAGGCGATACTATATCGCCGAAACTATTCAGTGCCGCTCTAGAGAACGTCATGCGTAAGTTGGAATGGGACAACATGGGAGTGAAAATCGACGGCCGGCAGCTACACCACTTCGCTTTGCTGACATCGTATTGATAACACCAAGCATCACGTAGGCGGAGCAAATGCTGGCCCAGTTTGACGAAGTGTGTGAAAAGATCGGTCTACGGCTGAATCTAACGAAGACGTTATTCATGAGGAAAGGAAGAGTGCCTAATGCTCCTTTCATGCTCAACGGGACGAACACCGAATGCTCAAGATACACCTACCTAGGTCGTGAACTCAATATGATGAACGATCTAGCTCCGGAACTAAGCAGGAGGAAACGTGCAGCATGGGAAGCATATAAGACAATTGAGGGCGTAGTGAAGAAGACCAAAAACATCCTACTTCGCGCCCACATTTTCATATCGACGGTTCTTCCTGCATTGACGTACGCTTCAGTAACATGGACAATGAGAAAGCAGGATAAACACGCGGTTAGCGTCATCGAACGAGCTGTTGTGAGAGTGATGCTAGGAGTGAATCGACTCACGCAAGTGAGGCAAGGATTACGAAGTTCTACCCTACGTCAACGATCGAAGATCAGGGACGCTGTCGCGTACGCCAAGCAAAACAAGATAAGATGGACCGGACACGTAATGCGTTTCGACGACAACCGGTGGACGAGAGCTGTAACAGATTGGATACCGCTGGACGTCAAGCATGAACAAGGAAGACCGCCGACGCGATGGTCAGATATGTTCACGAAGTCCTTTAATGAAGTCCTTCAGAGCGTTCCACGTGTTCCAGGTGCGATAGCAAACACTGGTTAACAATCGCCCGAGAGGGACGAAATGAGGCACACGGGTGGGGGAACGAAAGCCGCCAGTTTCGGTCGCCTGCGCGGACTGCTGGTCCTGGAACGACATGCAACAACTTTGCGAAAGGACCAGTTAGCCGCGAAAGGCGGCTCAAACTGGCGGCTTTCGTTCCCCCACCCGAGGCACACTGGTACTTGCTCATGCAACACGATGATCAACGGGGGATACAGGTGATACAGATGATTGTTTCGAGAACACTTTAAAACGGGTTTCTAGCAAGAGCACATAAAAGTTTTGAAGTTGAGCTTCTGCAAAAGGTGGAAGTGGTAAGAGATAAACTCCTGGAATGTTTAAGGAAATGAAAAATGGAAAAGTGAGTTGAGCTTGAGACAGGGGACAGAAAAAACGAAATTTTGTTGAATGACTAGAGGTAAAGCTGAACAACACCTTGAAAAAGAGTTCTTCATGCGGTCATTATATATTATAAACACTTCTTTTTCATCAGGAAATTGTTTGGAAATTCATTCAACTTATTGTAGCCAAAACACTAGCGCAAAAGAAGCACACCTTGACCGTATTTCACACACCTGACAGAACATAGCTGAGTTAGTGAAGAAAACATTCGGCAATGTTTCATTTTCAAGCTATTGAAAGCATTTCTTCATTAAGAATAAAAAAGCTGCATGCAACAGTTAACGGCACAGCAACTCAGACAGTCGATGGGATACCTCCGGAGCAGAAGTGGCAGGGTCGCGGGCTTTCCCCAGCGGAAGATTGCCACTTCGCGTTCCGGAGCCCTGACATTTCACGCATCTTTGTGCTCCGGGGCTCTCTCAAAAATGGCGAACCTTCGGAGCAGAGATTTGCGCGCCTCGGAGAGGGGTCCCATTCCCATTCCTGTTTGTGACGTCACCGTGACGTCACGGTGAATAAATGGGACCCCTCTCCGCGACGCGCAAATCTCTGCTCCGGAGGTGCGCCACTTTTGGGAGAGCCCGGAGCACAAAAATGCGTGAAATGGCAGAGCTCCGCAGCGCGAAGTGGCAGACTCGCCCATATGCCCGCCGGAGGTATCCCTTCGACTGTTTGAGGGTAGTGAAAACTCAGCTCGTCATAAGGGAAACATACGTAAGCCCGAACCAGTGTGGCACTTACAATTCATAATACTCGAAGTAGTGATGATGATTCGAATAGAAAACTTGTACGCTAAAACGCAACAGACACAATTAGCACAATTATGAAACGTATTGATAATCCATGTGCACAGCAAAGCAAATGATGACTATTGTGATCAGATACCATTGCTGTACATCCTTTATCAAAAAAAAAGAACCTACCCCGTGTTTAAACCAGCACTAAAGCCTCTAAAATATTAGTTCTTTATCAAAAAGCTTATGCACGATTAACTTACCAATGATAGAAGATAATTTTCTGGCTTGTTTGCAACAGCCCTTGAGCATTCCGCAACTAAAATGCACTGAAAATTACCAGCTATCCTGGTGAAACGAAGAAAAATTTTGCTTGGATTGCAAGAGTAAGATGAAATATCGGTGTGGGAGACGATGCGTAGTTGATGAAGATAATAACGAGTACTCTTGGAATATCATAAAACGCAACCAGTCTGACTAGTCTTTTACTTTTTGTGAAGTGACAGCAAAGCGAATATTTAGTGTTTGTTGGGACTGGAGCGTTTTAGTATGAGTCTGAAGTTAGTTTATAACAGTAGATTGAGTTAATAAGTTCAGTAAAGTTAATATCAGTTTTAATACATATATACAGGATGTCCCAAAAAGATGTGCACACTGTTTGATTGTAAATAACTCTCTTGTAGTGGAGTGTTTCGAGAAGCCTTAGGTACCATTTTGTAGAGCGAGGTTCAACTTAGATTTACAGTGTAGAGCGAATCGCCGGTCGTTCATTCTTACTGTAGGAGTACGGTAGAGACTTCAAACATATGGTGTCACTGTGAAAAAAGGGGCCGTTTCAAAAATTTTCAAAAAAATGTGGAAATTTGTGTAATAGGGTTGTTATGGACCCTGAGTTCAATACCCAACTCTTTACAAGGTTGAGAAGCTTTCTAAACGGTGTAACAGCACTTTTTAGGAACACTTAAAAAACGTCTGCTACTGCTTACCTCGGATAATTTTTTAATGAAGCATTAGGAAGAGTTGAGAACTTCACATTTAGAATCAGCAACTCTAGTTAGCCCATTGTGAGAGTTTTTAGGTTGTTTTGGTTTTTTTGGAACAAAATATGGCCATTCATGGCTCAAAACCTTCTTCAAAGTTTCTACCGTAATCCTACAGTAAGAATGAGAGATCGACGATCCGCCCTACACTGTAAATCTAAGTTGAACCTCGCTCTACAAAGTGGTACCTAAAGCTTCTCGAAACACTTCACCATAAAAGAGTTATTTACAATCAAACAGTGTGCACATCTTTTTGGGACACCCTGTATATTTATTTATTTATCATTGAGAGAATAAAAATATGAGAGAAATTGGAGCATAAAAATCTTTTTGATTGAGATTTGTAGGTTAGTGTCGTTTAGGACTATTACGCTTGTTGAAATTTGTAGTCTCAAAAATGTAAAGGGGTGCGGAGGTGGTAGGTATGCTGAAGTTGATTTCTGTTTTCGGCATAAATCCCACTTATTAAACGTAAACAGCTTACATTGATTATACTCCCACTTTTCAGAATTAATAGTTTACAAAACGGTTAATCATTGTCATTTGGTATTGAGATATGACATCCAGTGCTGAGGATTACCTGCTCCCCCCCCCCCCCCCGCCCCACTTAACCGCTCTCGGCATCGCGGGCCGTGTTAAACAATAACTTCTGCAGTTCCGAAAGCGTCAAAGCTTTTGAGATGTTCTGTTGAGGCGTTTCGCATTTAAACTTAAAAACTGTGAAGTTTTCATTTCTATCATACGACATAAAACTTTGCTGCATTTTCCAGACTTTCATGCTGACGGCTTCAATTTCATGTCACAGGTGCGATAGTGTGAGAATTTTCACACCCCCCCCCCTTCACCCTGAGCCGGGACCAAGGTGACCCCCTTCAACAAAAGCCGAGAAAAAAAAATCAACAGTGAGGTAAGGTCAAGCAAAGGAGACATCTGTGCGTGAATTGTTTATGTATAGACAAGGAGGTGTCTGCTGAAAAAAATTGCTTGGTGACGGGTGTGAGTAGTGATTTCTGGACATTTTCGAATTTTTGACATAAAAAAATTCATAACTTTTGGAAATAAACATCTTGTGCGCCGCGATGGTCACCATTGAAACCGTCTCGTCCTCCGCTTTCAGAAAATATATACGTTGCCTGGAGTCCTCCAAAAAAAGTGCCTGGGTGAAGGGTGTCCTTGTGATTTCTGGAGATTTTCGAGTTTTTGACATAAAAAAATTCATAACTTTTGGAAATAAACATCTTGTGCGCCGCGATGGTCACCATTGAAACCGTCTCGTCCTCCGCTTTCAGAAAATATATACCTTGCCTGGGGTCCATTGGAAAAAGTGCCGCGTGAAGGGTGGGTGAGACTTTTGTAATGGGAATGCTCAAGTAGACGTCTTTTTACAATGGTAAAAAAGCCTGTACTTGAGCACTCCCATTATAAAAGTCTCACCCACCCTTCACCCGGCACTTTTTCAAGGAACTCTAAGCATTGTATATATTTTCTGAAAGCGGAGGATGAGGCGGTGGTTTCAATGGTAACCATCCCGGCGTACAACACGTTCATCTTCAGAAGTTACGGGTTTTCTATCCTAAAAACTCGAAAATATTCAAAAATCACTACCCATACTCTTCACCAGGCAAACTTTTTCAACAGACTCCAGGCAAACTATATATTCTCTAGAAGCGGAAGACAAGTTGGTTTCAAAAACATCTCCCCTGCTGACGTTGCTGTTCATCTACAGAAGCTACGAATTTCGTTAGAAAATTCGTAAATGCTCAAAAATTAAAGCTCCATTTTAATCAGGTACCCAGTAGTCCACAGCTGAACATAAGATACGAGCAGAGTGCACGTCTGCAAAGTATTCCGTATGATTTCTTGATTAACTGAAACACCCTTCTCACCCGGAGGGTCTGCGACCGCTGTGACCCCCTTCACCCTCGAGGGGTCATTCTCACCTAATCGCACCTGTGTTTCATGTTACCCATTCGGCTTACCCAATCGGTATTTTATACCGATTCTGACGGTGGGTTAATCTAAAACATTGTAATTTAATTTTTTGTTGAGTTTCACGATCGGATCTCGGGGCCGTTAAATGTGTACAGTCGAGTAGATTTTCTGTAGTGTCCCTGCAGACGCGACAACGCCTATGCGTCAATAATTGCCACTACGAGTTTCAGCAAGAGTTTTACATCGTTTTCTTTGCTTATTTTTTGTTTTAGGTGAGTCCTTGCTGATAAAGGAAAGAAAGATAAGCTAGCAAGAAGTTTCTCTTTCCTGAGTATGTAAATCATCGCTTATTCCGAGTATTTATGTGAAAACTACGTCGTCGTTATTTTCGCGCGTATTTTCGGTCACTTCATGCCTCTTCGCTTCATTTTTTTGTAATTTTTGTCACATGATGCCTCTTTTTTCTTGTGAACCATTTCTTGAACGCTAATAGGCTTATAGGTGTGACTTGTTGTTTTTATCCCGGACTACTCCGAGGTTGCCTCCTTTTAAAGATAAATCGAAGTTGCTGCAGAGCCTATTAGCTCAAAGAAACGCTTTACAAGAAAAAAAAGGCATCATATGACAAAAATACACATGAAGCTGACGCGACGTGAATTCAACGTAGACATCTAAGAATTAGCGACGATATAACCATTCAAAAAACAGGAACTACTCTTCAACATACCTGCCTGTCCTTTATCAGCAACGAGTTCCCTGAAAAAGCAAAAAACAAGCAAAAAACTCTAGAAAACGGCGCTTGAAACTTCGCAATAGCATTTGTTGACGCCCTAGCGTTGTCGCGTCTGCAGGGACACTTTAAGCAGGAAATCTACTCGACTGTAGGTAGGTTCATTAAGAGAGGTGATTGACTATGCTTCTTACATCTTTTTCTTAATGTTCATGAATGTTTGATCTGCTATGTGATTCGATTCACTTTTGGAAGGCAACTAGCAGTGAAGTTTTTTTTTCAGATATTGCGGCCAAACAAGATGTAAAAACCTTTTCTCCATGTTGAATTTGAAATCTATGCAACAATTTAGCCCGTTACTACTCAATGGTTACCTAACTCACTTACCATTAGTCATAAATACTGGTCGTCTCTTACATAAAACGAGAATTCGTTTGCCTTTCCGTATGTGGTGTGCTTATGCGTATCTCCGAAAAGAAAATACGTTTCTAAGCCGACAAAAACAGCAATCCCTTGCAGAATCTCACACACTACGCTTCGGAGAAGGGCGGGCACTTAAATCGACTGCGTTTTTTGCCAAGTTGAGCTAGGGACTGAGGTTGTTCCAAGGATAAGTAGGCATTCCGAATACTAATCCTTATTTTTTTGCCAAGTTGAGCTAGGGACTGAGGTTGTTCCAAGGATAAGTAGGCATTCCGAATACTAATCCTTATTGTAAGGCTCGTCTTAGTTCCATCGTGCAGTCGGTATAAAAGTGACGAAAAAACTAGGTACTGAGCCATGCATAAATTCAATGTTTGCCGGTCTCAACAATTCCCATAAACTATTTTTTACGGCCTGCGATGGAGCATAAAAGACATTTACATTATCCAGAATAAGGGGGAAAAGGAACAAGAGGAGCTTGGAGAAAACTGTTGAAGCTTAGGAGCTACACTGCTGTGAGATGAAGCGTTTACATGGTTTCTACAATTCCTTGAATATCTTCCTACGAATGGTTAAGTACACAATCGTTCAGACTTTTCTTGTAATAGTTATACATGAGTTAACATTGTCTAATATAAAAGCACTGCTTATGCAAGTTTTATCGCTCTTTAGAAAAGCGCTCGCTTCTTTTTTGATTTTAATTGCCGGCTCTAGTCCGGTTTATGTGTTCCATTCACAGCTGCGGTGTTTATTTGCTCTAATCGCTGTGTAAAAAATGGGTCGATGTTGCTGTGCAAACAAAGAACGAAGAAATCCTTTATATCTAAGGCTTCGAGCAGAATTCACCGATTTGATCGTCGCGATTCAATCGCGACAAGACAACTGTTACGAGTTTATTGCATGTCAATCATCTTGTATTCCGTTGTGATAGTTAGTCACGTTTAGTCGTGTTGGAAAACTATCGGAACCGAAATACAAGAAGATCGGCATGCAGTGATATTGTTACAGCTGTCATGTGGCGATTGATCGCGACGATCAAATCGCGTGCACTCTGTCCGAGGCCTGAAGGGTACTGAAAGTTTGCGTCTCGCAATCTTAATTCTTGTCATCGATAAACTTGATAACTTCGAAAGTAATCCCTGACTAATCAAAAATTTTGTTTTTCCAGCGAGCACATGGAAGTATACATGTCAACG